TTGACAAATCCCCTCTTTGGCGTTTTGACAAGATTCAGAGAAAATCCTGTTGCCTTGATGGCTGACATAAAAGCTATGTTCCACCAGGTAAAGGTCTCGAAGAAACATCTAAATTTTCTCCGTTTTTTATGGTGGCCAATGGGCAATTCATCTGTAAACCCAGTGGAGCACAGAATGAAAGTACATTTATTTGGAGCAGTGTCCTCACCAAGCGTTGCTAACTATGCATTGAGAAGGACAGCAGTTGATAATCAGAACATGTTTGGAACAGAAGTAACGGACACAGTTCAACGTAATTTCTATGTCGATGACTGTTTGAAATCTTTGGCCACAGAAGAGGAAGCAGTACAGATGGTTAAAGATCTAACCGACTTATGTTCAAGAGGAGGATTCCACTTGTCAAAATGGACAAGCAACAGCAGAACTGTATTATCTTCCATCCCTGAATCAAATCAGTCCATCATGACAAGAGAAGTTGATCCTGAACAAGACAGCTTACCAGTGGAGAGAGCACTTGGACTACAGTGGTGTGCTGAGAATGATAAGTTCATTTTCAAACCAGAAATACAAGAAAAGGCACACACCAGACGTGGAATACTGTCAGCTGTAAACTCCATTTATGATCCCCTGGGTTTTCTTTCACCCTTTACTTTGTTGCCAAAGATTCTGCTGCAAGAAATGTGCCGGCAAAAGATGTCATGGGATGAACCAATTTCTCAAACACAGCTGCTACAGTGGAGTACGTGGTTGACAGATTTGAAGAAGGTTGAAAAACTTGACATTGATCGCTGTATTAAACCTAAAGGCTTTCAAGAACCTCTCCATATGCAACTTCATCACTTTGCAGATGCTAGTGGGCACGGATACGGCACTGTGTCCTACTTGAGACTGGAGAACCAAGAAAAAAAGGTTCACTTGGCCTTCATGTTGGGAAAGGCAAGGGTTACACCCTTGAAAGAGACAACAATTCCCCGACTCGAGCTAACTGCCGCAGTCTTATCAACAAAAGTCGACAAAATGCTACGCAATGAACTGCATTTTGAGCTTCAAAGGTCACTATTTTGGACGGATAGCCAGACAGTGTTGAAATACATCAAAAATGAAACTAAACGATTTCACACTTTTGTGGCTAACAGAGTGGCCTTGATAAGAGACGCTGTGGACCCTGAACAGTGGAGGTACATTAGCTCAAAGGACAATCCTGCTGACGATGCCTCTAGAGGTTTACCTTTGGACAGTCTGTTGGAAAATGGCAGGTGGTTCACAGGTCCACCTTTTCTCAGACAGCATGAAGATAACTGGCCTAAACCCTTTCTGTCGCAACAGATTTTGGCAGATGATCCAGAGGTTAAGAGAGACATCATAGTAAACGTTGTCACTACTGTGGCTCAAGATTCATTAACATCATTTGTGGATTATTTCTCTTCATGGATAAAGCTCAAAACTTCTGTGGCTTGGCTCCTCAAGTTTCGAGAAGTTCTCCTGACTTTGAGTAACAAGAGAAAAGAAATTGTTGCCATTCCTCTCGGGTCATCAGAAATGGTAGAGAAAGAGTTGTCAAAGATTAAGTCTTCACTTGGTGGCCAATCGTTGACTGTTTCAGACTTTTCCAGAGCAGAAACTGCTATAATTCGTTTCAGTCAACAAAACGCCTTTAAGGAGGAAATCATTCTTCTGGAAGCCGGGACATCATGCGTCAAGAGGAGCAGCAGTCTCTACAAGCTGGATCCCAAGCTTATTGATGGCCTACTGAGAGTAGGTGGAAGGCTGAGGCATGCAGCCTTACCTGAAGAACAAAAGCATCCTGTGATCCTCTCAAAGAACCAGCATGTATCCAAACTTATTCTACAGCATGTACACCAATGTCTTGGACATGCAGGAAGGAATCACATGCTTTCAACCTTGAGGAAAAGGTATTGGATTACAAATGCTAACTCTGCCTGCAGAAAAATAATATCAAAGTGTGTGACATGTCGACGCCAGAAAGGTCAGCCAAGTGAGCAGAAAATGGCTGATATGCCACTGGAAAGGGTTACCCCAGATTTACCTCCTTTTACCAACGTGGGGGTGGATTATTTTGGGCCCATCGAAATCCGACGAGGACGCACTGTGGTTAAAAGGTACGGGGTCATCTTTACTTGCATGACTAGTAGAGCTGTTCATTTGGAAGTTGCCCATTCCTTGACCACCGATTCCTGTATCAATGCTTTAAGAAGGTTTTTGTGTCGCAGAGGTCAAGTGAAGCGCATCCGATCTGATAACGGAACTATTTTGTTGGGGCAGAAAGAGAGTTGAAACAAGCTTGGGCTGCTGTTGACCATGGAAAGATTCAAAGAACCCTCCTTCAAAGAGACATTGAGTGGGCATTTAATCCCCCAGCTGCATCACATCATGGAGGTGTTTGGGAACGGCTGATCAAAATGGTTCGAAAAATTCTTTTCTCCATTTTGAAGCAACAGATGTTGGATGATGAATGCCTCCATACAGTGATATGTGAAGTAGAGGCTATTCTTAATGATCGACCCATCACCAAGGCATCCGAGGATATTAATGATTTGGAAGCTCTAACACCAAATCATATCCTGTTGCTAAAAGGAAAACCTCTCCTGACCCCTGGGAGTTTCACTGAAAACGATCTTTACATCAAACGACGCTGGAGACAAGTTCAGTATCTGGCTGACCTCTTCTGGAGTAGGTGGACCAAAGAGTACTTACCGATGATGCAGGAGAGACAAAAATGGATCAAGCCTCGACGAAGCTTTTCTGTTGGAGACATTGTCATCATCATGGATCGTTCAACTCCTCGAGGATTGTGGACTATGGGAAGAGTTACTAAAACGTACCCAGACAACGCTGGCTTTGTACGAACAGTTGAACTGAAGACTAAGACTGGGGTTCTAGAAAGACCCATATCAAAAATCTTTCTACTTCAAGAAGCTCCATAAGTTTTTGTAATTGTGTATTCCATCACAATTAGGGGCCGGAGATGTAGGAGCCGTTTATTTTGTGGGTTGGGCTTTCATCTGTGGTGGTGGTGTTGGGTGCGTCACATGTGATTTAAGTGGGTCCTCGGGTGTTTCGGGAGAGATGATTACGCATGGGTGGCGGGATGAGCATACGGTTTTTACCGCTCGCGACACCATGACAATAGACTTCCTTTTGTGACGATCAACTGGGAGCACTTGGAACCGCATCATGTAAAACGCCAGCTAACGCTTGTAAAAGAAAATAAACAAGACTAACGCACAGACAAAAAGAGGTTTTGATTTATGAATAGAAGCGCGTCAGAAGCCGCCTCCGCCCTCACCCAGCTGGCTGACAACAGGAAGTGTCAGCACATAACCAATACTTTTTAATTTCTCTTTGTAGGCCTGGTCCCATGCTACAGTCGTTCGCGAACAAGACGACCTTTGAGGGAAGGGAACTCTCGGGCAACGGTCGATCATTCCAGTCATCACACCCGAATCTCATTGATGACCTGGTGGCCAACATGGAGAACCGATTTGGGCTTGTGAAAGGAAGGGTACTTCATGCCACAAACATTGCAGATGTTGGGTTCCGGTCCGACAAAGTAAACATGACAGGTTGGTTTTTTTGTTTCAATTTATTAACTGCGTCATTTTACTTTGATAAGGTGATTTCATCACAGCACATATTTTTTAAATGAAGAGGTAATGCTAGGACACCTCTTGGTTTTTAAAGAGTAAGGTTTTTTGATGATTCAATTTTTTTTTTTTTTCCCCAGACTTTGGAGATGCAGCTGTTGACATCCTGGTAGGGCACTTCAAGCCTGTCCTGGAAGATGCGGGTGTGCAGGTGGACAAAGTTGCAGACGAGTGGACAATACTCTGATCCAAGGTGTATCAGCAGCCCGACTGGTTGGAGTTCATCAAGAAGGTGACATGGTGTGAACTGAACAGAAGGTACTTTGACGAGTGCCCCAACGTTCTTCAGCTTGTGGACCTACTGCTGACCCTGCCTGCATCTACAGCTGAATGTGAAAGGTTTCAACCACAAGAAAATGATAAAGAGTGACTGGCTGTCCAGCCTGTCAGGGAAGAGTGTGGGCGAACTCATGTCGGTGCTGTTACTGTTGGCAGACATTAAAAACTTCGACCCGAAGCCAGCCATAAACATGTGGTTTCATGATGTCCAACGGCGAAGGCGTCTCGATTTCATGGATGGAAAGACTTCCACTGCCACTGAGATGGACGACGCAGAGCCAGAGGAAGATTTCATGTGCGTAGGTCAGGGCCGCTTGCTCTCCATGATGAGCAAGAAATATAAGGAAGACCTTGACAAGAACTTTGAGGTGGAGTAACATACCAGTCCACCACTAGCCAAATATTCAGCCTGCATCACATTGGTGCCAGAGACTGACACAGTGCTGGTTGTAAATATGTAAATATTTACAGAAACGTTTATTATGTTTGTGAATGTATACAAAATGAAGGTTAATTACATTTAAAATGGTTTAGTTGTTATTTTGACTCGTTTTGGCAGCTGACCTGCGGGGCCGGTCGATTCTTGGCAAGGCCGGTAAATTGTCAGTTACCGACCCGGCTGGCTGGTTGGTTTTGAAGTTAATGTCCACCCCTGCCCTTATCATGTTATGCAAGTTAATGGATCCAGTCTTAGTTCAACACCGCAGTCATTTCTAATACAATCAGAACTGAATCACAAGAGGAAGAATGGAACACTCAATATGCACACTTAAGAATTTATCATACAAGCAAAAGCAGAACATTTATCAGGGTAAATAAAAGAATAAAAGACTCAAGAATACATTTGTATAATGAAGTCAAGGAACATTAACATGATGGTACAGCTGCAGTAGGCAAAGACTTGCTTCATTGAAACGACAAAAACATTCAATGTTACAACAAGGTCACAATAAAGAAGACTTAATTAAATAAATACGCGTTCCTCTTTATTTACCTGCAATAAATTAAAGGTGTCTTATTCTGAATTTTGACAGTGATGACTGTATAAATACTGACCTCTAATCCTTTCACCACGAGATGAATAACTGACTCAACATCTTGTCCTCCCTCACCACAGTCCGTCCACGGCTCAAGTTGTTGGCGCTTTCCTCCTGCTGTTTCCTCAGCACCTAAACGTGGGAGAAAGCAGTTTAAGGTACAGTTTCATGATGATCAAATGCCAGCTATGTTCAGCTCTGTAACTGTTACTCATTATCACCTATATTACAACCACATCCCATTGTTGCTCTAGCGACTTTGGAAGGAAGAACCTAAACATCTATTGTTATGGAAAAATGTATGTTTATTAATTCTTCATCATTGACTCAGTCAACTGAATGTAAATGTATTTCTCTATGCATCTCTCTCCCTCTCTCTCTCTCAACTCTGAACAGATGTTCAGGGCATTTTGCCTCGTGCATTATGCCACAGTTATAACGGTTTGACTTGTCTGCTCATGGTCTCCTTCTCTCTTCACTGTAGGAAATGGGTTATTGATAAACATATTGATAAAATCCATGACATCTATCTAACCGATCATCATCCTAATAGACTAATACTCTATGTATTGGTTGGCAATGACTCAGTGCCTCCCACTTAAAACATATCTCGCTCTCACGGATTATCTCAACCTTCACTAAGGTCATGCAGAGTTGGTGACTAGCTCCAGCAGCCTTTCTGGTGAAGGTCTGGAACACCTGGAATGGTTATCAGTCCATCACAGTGATACAGAGACAAACAATAGACCGTACACTCACTCACACCTAGGCACAAGTTAGGGTGGCCTATTCACCCAACATTAATGTTTTTGGCCTTTGTGAGGAAACCAGACCGCACAAAAAAATGCATTCATGCGTGGGAAGAACATGCTAAATCCATGCAGAAAGGCTAGAGACAAGATTCAAACGTGCAACCTTCTTGGTGTGTGCCACGCCACTTTGAACAAGAACATGTTACAAATGTTTAAATATTTGAGAAATAAATACGCCTGTGTATCAAACCACAATACGATAAAACGTTTGCTTGTTCAAAACCTTGTTTGATGATCAGTCAACTATGATCCACACCATTGAATTCTTCAGCATTCCTTTGAGTGTCATGATTTAAACACACTCTTCATTCTTAAAAGAAATCCTCTTAAACAAGATAAATTAATTAGGACTCAGTGCTCCAAAGCAGTTCTTCAATCCAAACATTTCAAAGACAAATGTAATTAAGTGCTGTCATTTTTTTGTTCAGTGTGGCTAATTACACCCTAAAATCAATGCTCCACGGTCTTTGACACTGATGCACTATGAATTAATATCAGGAAGCAAACACATTTTTATAATTGCAGCCGTGGTTAACTTAAGAGAATTTTCAACGGCACAGTCATTAATGTACAGTCGATCTATCAGTAATTATATGCAGAGTGTCAGCTGAAGAGTTTATCTAACAAATTAATTTCGAGGCCCAGTTGGAAGGAGTAATCGCCAGATCAGACAGAACATATTGATTAATTAATGACACAAGCTCATTGAATAAACACTTAGATTGCATTATTGTAGAAATGAAATCATCTGGAACTAAGTGGTCCACTGCACTATGACAAGTTTTAAAGTAAGACACAAATACAAAAAAATAAGGTCTGATGGAATGGATAAAGTAGTGTTTTTTTCAAAGTTCTGATCAAATTAGTAGCAGAAATTTGCCATTTTAAAATGTTTTTAGAATAATTTCCTCTTACAAAAAAGTGTTAGGGTTAAGGGTTTACAAATAATTTCACAATGAAGACATAGAAGGACATTCCTGCACAGTTTACGAAACCAGCCTTTGACCTTAAGAGAACATCACCACCCAGTTAGAGGAGGAATGCAGAAATGTCAGCAGCAATTTTAATCAATAATCCCAGGATACCGTATAAGAGTACTAATGCTTTTGAGACGAGGCAGCTGCAGGCAGAAGGTAAGGAGCAGCAAATGAAAGTAAACGCCAGCCAAGGGCTGTTCATTCTTTCTGAGTCTTATCCCAAACTACTTCTGCTACCACTTCAAGGCAAGAGCATATATTTCATTGGATCACTGGGGAAGACGCTTTAACACTGCATCCTGCTGAGATTTTCAAACCTCTAACTTTTCTTGCAAATCTGAATCTAATTCATTTATTCTTTGTGCCATCTTTGAATGAGATGTCTCTATTTACACAAAAATAAACCAAACTGGCCAAGGATAATGAAATGAAATATAGTAATGCTTCAAGTTTTCTGCATCATTTTACAATATTCATCCTGTTGTAGCTTGTTTCATCCTATTACAAGGATGGACAGGATTTATTCTGATTTATTCTCTAAGTGCATCATTTGTTTAGGGTATTATCAACAGAAAATTTAATTAAAGATACTTTAAACCCTTGAACTGCTAATTAACTGTTTATTTTTTTGTTTCAGACAACATGAAAGCTGTCTTTTTCTCTAGCATCAAAAGCATTTTTATTTTTGAAATGTAGACAAACATGGGCCATTTAATAATTGAGCTGTAGATATCAGATCCTTCAACGATCTCACACACACCACCCAGCTGGTCAGCAAACCACAGCAGTAGCTGCCATTTCTCAAGAGACCGAGGAGGTCTGGAGAGACATCCTCATCAATTTGTGCAGCAGCATCATCCACACAAACTGCATCACTGAGTGATGTAGAAGCAGCACTTCCAAAAATCACACGCCTGCAGACCACCATCAGGACCGCAGAGAGGAAGCACACCTACCTTCACTGCAGGACATCTATCTCATGAGAGTACACTGCAGAGCCAGCCTCATAATTTGTTCTCCCAGCTACCTTAAACCCAGCCTGATCATAGTCATGCCCCTCAGGCAGGAGGTTCAGAAGTCTGAAGTGCAAGACATCAAAACACAGAGCAGCCTCTAACCTGAAGTAATCAGGAATGGTAACTCCTCTAAAGACCATTACACAAACCTCCTTCAAAACGAGCTGGACTCATTTCAAGCAGATGTTTTGTATAATGTGTTAGACTGCTCTAATGTTTAACCAAAGCTTTTTTAAAACCATTCTTATTCTGTTAGTTTTAATGCAACTGTGTCCCAGTGTTTGGAGCCGAGAGTAATGGATGTACAGTATAGTATTAGTCTGTCTTCCTGCACAAATATACTAATTAAAGTAAGCTGAAGTCTGACAGAGTATAATAACGTCTTCAATCTATTTGGTTTACATAAACTTGACAACATTAACCCCTCAAAGTTCAATCCTTTAACCATTATTCTTTGTAACGTCACATAAAGAAACAATATTTTTTATACTTTCATCAGAAGTACACACATATGAAACAAAACAACACAGTGATTTTTATCGACCTTATTGCAGATTGTCAACTAAGTAAAATACTCTTAAATGTAGATGGCCTTTCTTCTGGAATAAACCACCACCAACTCTTCAAACTACACCTGCATTTCATTCTTTAAAAAAAACCCAGTTAAAATAAATGTTGATCTCAAGTAACACATGACGTCTAAAGGTTCTTATATTTGTAAACTGAATGCATTTTATTTATTTTTTGTTTGTTTCTGCTGCTGAACTAGCTCGTCTTCGGTGAACTCAAAAGACCTATGGGTCTTCTTAACCTTTTTTCATTGTTTATGTTTTATTGATTATGTTTTTTGTGCAAACTAATAAGTTAAAATTAAATTAAAGATGGGAAGTTGAGATAACAACTTGGGACTCAGCTTACAGGCTGAAAATCATCTCCCATGGATAGACAAATAGTGACAGTGAAGCAGCACCAGGTTCTCTGCAAGGTGCCTTAAGCCATCAGTCTCAAGTATTAGCACTATGCTGACATGTATAATTGCCTTTACATATTGTCCAATTCAATTGACCTGCCTCGAGCAAGAGGTTGACATTGCCCGTGAATCTTGAACACCAACTTTATGGTTCTCTCTAATGAATACATTTTGAACATTAAGCTGGAGATATTTCTTTTACAACAGTTTGACTGGAAAGGATATTCTGTCATTAATTATTGTAGTTGCTCCTCATTTGCTGCCATCATGACACATGAAGTCATCTATCAAGAGTTGTAGGCAGGGTAAAAAGAGATAAAGACCCATCTGCTGGGTATTCAGAACACAGACATTTTCTCTAAGGAGTCAGTGGTTGGCCAAACACTCACTGATCACACCACAGTTGATCATACCACAGTGGAGCCAGCCATCAATGACCATCTGATGCCCAGAATATTAAGTAAGGACTCTGCAGAGTGAAGAGCTAAATTAACTTGGATTTATCCTAACGGACCTGGAACAAACGGATTAACTCATTCACTGCCTTTGACTACTAAAGTCGTCAATTGACTTTTTTTTTAATGGGACGGGCCTGAGAACAATCTCCCCCACCTTGAGAGTAAACATCATGGCTCTAAAGTTAATTTTCACCCATGTGTGTCACATGTCATGTGATCAGGAAGTGGACAGTCCATGAATTAGGAGATCGTTTTGAGACGCCGCTATGCCGAGGCGCAAACCGGAGAAGCCTCTGCAGCTCACACTTCAACAACACACTGTGAAAGTATGGAAAAGGCTAGAAACACGCAGATTCTTCCTGATGTAAGACGTGAGTCTACTCTGACAGTTTTGGTGTTTATATAGTCAGAGCACAATCTTCTGTGACTCTTAAAAAAACAGTAAAAACACTCAAAAACGCTGGCAGTCAGGGGCTTTCTGTTCAAAAAATAGTTGGCAGTGAATGAGTTAAATATAATCACTTCTAATCTAAAATATACATAGCTTCATGCCAAAATATACTATTCTATCGCTCCGCATTGAAATGTAAGGTTTGTTTAACAGTGAAGAACTGTTTTGACACAAATATTCATCTCTATACTCTTGCACCCAACTAAAGATGTTTGCATTGGAGTTGTGTGATCCTTTAGATCATGGTGCAAAAGTTAATTAATGCCAGTGATTCAAGTTAAAAGGTGAAACTAAGGCCTAGTCCACACGTAGCCAGGGTTTTTTAAAAACGAATATCCGCCCCTCCAAAAACTTTCATCCACACCACCGCGTTTTAAAATCAAACTCTGTCCACACGTACCCGGATAAATACGTTGTTATGGACATGCCAGACCTGTAGGCGGCAGTA